ACAGTGTGATATCAGTAAGAATGTAAATAATTTAACCAGCAATCAAAATAGTCACTACGACCTTATGTCTGGCCTGCTTTGTCCTCTGGTGAGAGGCGACTTATGTCTAAGGCTGTAGCTTCACTTCTGAAAGTGGCTGGACCCAGACCTTATCTTTGCTTGGCCACTTCTCTGCTGCCCACTTGGTCCACCTCTCTGGTCCTACTGACATGTCTCCAAGTCAATTTGGAGCAGGAAACCAGCATGCCTGACTGCAAAGACAAAACCAGCTAGCAAACAGACACGAGGGCAACGTGAAAGGACCAATTCAGTGGCGACACTTGGAGTGACTCTGACTTTTACTTTTCCTTCAGCTGCTGTATCTACCCTATCACGGAGTTCTATGTTTCTTTTTTTTTGTAAGATATTTTAGATGTTTTCTATTTGTACACTCTGCTAACATCATAGTTTGGGATGGATGTGATTTCATGGCTGGCATCTAACTACAGCTTCCCCACTGGATTATCTACTTCTAGCTTTTCCAACTGACCCAGCATGCACTTCTCAAAGTTATTTTCTAAAATGCTATGCTCATTTTTTCTGGGACTGAGAACAAGAAGTCAGGCACTTGAATTTGAGGTCTGAAGAACCTGGACCCTAATTTTTTATATCTCTTTGTTTGTATTTGTTTTGACTATAAATTAATTTGGGGTTGGGGACCACATAGCTTTATATCCCAAACAGGGATGAATCAGTCTTTTATTCTACTAGTATTGTTGTGATTGAAATAAGTACAGAGAAGCAAATGGTTTCCATTTGCAATTAATAAAGCTTTTAAAAACTATTGGAATGATGTGCAGATGTAATCCAAAGCAACAGATATATTCGTAGTAAGAGTAATCAATTGCATTTCAAAAGCAAACACTCCTGTTTTATAGTAAATACTTTAGTAATGTGTTAAAACCCTCAGAGGGTGAATAAAAAGACAATTTAAAACGTCAGACTTAGCTTCCTCTGTTTAAGCTCAGCTGTCTGGAGTCAGGCTAGGTGGCCGCAGTTTATATCAGGCTGGTGTACTGGGGGCAGGAGAGCAGGTGAGAGCGGGTGGTTCCTGGTAGTCTCAACTGGGCAGGTGGGAGGAAGTCATTTTAAAAATATTCCTTTCTCTGAGATGTAAACTGTGAACAGAAATCTATGAGAAAAGCTCAATAACCCTCTCTACAGCAAAGTGAGGAGTTTATAAAGTCCAAGCCTGGGAAGGCATTGAGGACACTGGGTGAGGATGGAGAAACAGGAGGGTACCTTGCAAAGGGGAGAGAAGGGTGCAGAGGAGAAAGCTGGAAGTCACTGAACAGAAACCTCACCTCTTTCACCAGGGAGTTCCAGAACAGCTTCTACAATAGCAAGAGAAACCCAGAGCTTTTCCAAGGTAAGGCCTTATGGCTTTTAAGGAGTGAACATATGCTTTAACATAGAATGACGAAGAGAAAGGCAGAAACAGGAAGAAACTGTGCAACAAAGCCTATTGTGCTTTTGGGAGACATTTTTTTTCCCCTTCAAAGTACCATAATAATTAGTAGCTCCAACTTGTTTCCATTCTAATAAATGCATCTGAATGCATGAATGAAAGCATTTTCTAAGGGCTGTGCAGTATGACTGTGCCAAATGTTAAACTGAGATTTTAATCACTCTTCCTGATTTTTGTCCTGACTGGACATAATGCCACATGCTTATCCCTTATTGTCTTGTCAATTTCTTGGGTGGGCTATGTCTCACCACTAAAGCTCTCTGCTTCTCTCAAGGGCCTCTTCTATGTGACCTCTTCCTTCTAGGTTTTGATAACCTCTCCTTTCTCTCATTCCTTCAAATGTAAGTGTGGCAACAGCATCAGTGCTACTAGTCCAGAGACATTGCACTATAGCCAGCCTCTGTCTTTCCCACTCCTTTATATACAGATCTTCTATTAGTAAAGCTTCCATGAATTATCCTAATTTGAATGTGCTGATTCCTGCTGAGACCCTGACAGATACACCCCCCGCCCCCCGCGTTCTGTCCACTATGGTAGCCACTAGCCATATGTGGGTATTGAGCATTTGAAATGTGGCTAGTCCCAATCAAGATGTGCTGGAAGTGTAAACTACACACTGAATTTCAAAGACTTGGTATGAAAAGAAAGAATCTAAATGACCTCCATAATTTTTATATTGATATATATTAAAATCACATTTTTAGATATATTGGATATATTATAATAATACTTTTACTTGTTCCTTTTTACTTTTTTTAAGGTATTGAAATTTACTAGAAATTTTAAATTACATATGTGGCTCATATTTGTTGCTCACATTTTGTTTCTAATGTACACACGGAGCTGCCCTGGATATTGTGTGAGTGATCCTGAGAATCATGTCTCCAACATAGTGTCTATAATACCCACATAAAGGAAACATCTATGCTCAGAATGTAAACACAAACACACAATATTGTATCATGTTAGAGCTAGTAGGGAGGTTGTAGCCGATCATTTTCCAGGGGAGGAAACCGAGGCACGCTTGTCAGCATTTATGGGATTGCATTCTTTTGGACTAACTTTAAATGGTCTTTATTTAGTTGTTTTCCTTCTGCAAACCAGATTGAAATACCTGGAGAGAAGTTTTAAAATACATTAGAACTTAAGTTAGTATTAAACTTCAACTGTTTTGTCGATATCCAATTTTAGGACACAAAGGGACATTAAAGCATAGCAGGACTTGCTGTTCGTGCCTTGTAAAAGTCCAGTGCTTTATGGCATCAGAATCTAATAGCTCTTCACTGGTTGCAGAATCAGTTGGGTTTGGTAGTTCATAAACATAAAACTATATCTAGCAGTGAGTATTTATCCAGCAGGGCACAAATTCACCAGTTCCAGTACCATACAAGCACAGTGTTAGAACCACCACTAGGTCCCCTCTGGAAGCTGAAAAAGGACCTCCCTGACTTGCACTTCCATGGTCAACTAGAGCTCAGGAAGGCAGGTGAGAGGAGGGCTGTGAATGACAACACCGGGCAGCAGGAATCCCTAGCGACTTTCCCGCAGCATGGACACTGCACCTGCTGGGGCCCTTGTTAAGCACCCACATCGTGGCCTTGCTAGCACCCACAGTGGGCCCAGAAAGCTGCCTCCACAACTTACAGGGATTGGTACGAAGCTGCCAGGAGACCGCCCACATCGTGAGGCATCCTGTGGCGACAAGGAAGCCAAGAAGTAAGGAACAAATAGGATTGGAACAAAAAACCACCTCATGCAGGTTCCACGGGCCACCTCCCTCCATTAAACAGCAAGGCGGTTTGTATCCCTTCCTGACCTGCTCTCCAGGGAGCGCATGAAGAGGATATAGGGTCAGAGGAGGCAAGAGAAAGAGGAAACTGCTGTTTATGAAAGGACATTTAACCCCTTGCACACACGCTACGTAGCACAAACAACATTTGAAAAGAAAGATTCTTCATCAAAAACTGGGAGACTGGAGTCGGAGCTGAGTTTTTTAAATTTTATATTTCTGCCCTTGATTTATTAAGGCTCATTTCCTAAGAGGATGTTTCTTTCTGGGCCCTGGGGGACTCTTGATCATCTTAAACAAATCCATGGAAGAACAACCAAAAAAAAAAAAAAAAAAAAAAAAAAGTGCTGCTGGGGGAAAAAGGGTTTCGCTGGAGGGTCCACAGTGGAGCATTGAGTAGGTAGCAGTGCAAGCGGTTGCGGAGGAATAGAGGTTGCCCCAGGCTAATGGGGGTGTGGTGTGCCCGGCCCCACCGGGAACTGCGCAGACAAAACTTGCAAAGGTCGGGGATGGGCAGGAGAGTCAAGGTGGGGGGACACGGGGCAGGGGCTGTGGAAACAGAGGCGGGAGCGGAGCAGAGCGCGGGGATCAGGCTGCGAAGGGCTGAGCTGGGGGGCAGAGGTTGGGGAGCCCCCCCTCGATCGAGTGGCTCGCTGGGTGGCAGTCCGGGCCCCGGGGATCCGGCCGGCCCTGGCTGTCAGTCAGGCGGTGCGGAGTCGCCGCAGCCCTCGCTGGGCTCGCAGGGGGCCGGCCGCCGGGGGG